AGAGGAGTAAGCAAGTTTCTGTGTAAAAATCAGTGTGGGAAATGTATTGCTTGCTTTACTCCAGCTCAAAGAGAACTCATGTAATGTTTTGTTTCAACTAAGGTGACGCTAATATGGCTTCATTATCTTACAAAACATCACGATCTCACTTACTCTGAGATATAATGCTGTCTGAAATGCTTTGATGGACTCATTCCTGGACAGGGCAACTATTGTTTTTTTTTTTTTTTCAAGTGCCGGGAATCGAACTCATGACCTTGTGCTTGCCAGGCAGATGCTGTGCCGCTGAGCTAAATCCCCAGCCCCGGACAGGGCAACTTTTCCTCCACCACAGCCATGACATTATTTGGACAGAGCTTGGTAAGTGTGGAATAACAAGTTGCCCAAATCCCTTAGTGAAACTTGTATATAACAGAGTTTGGGTGATAAACCCTAGGAGATAAAGGATTTTGACACTTTACTGAAGTTACGGCAATGAAGATAAATTGAAGTGGAAGACAATGTGCTGCGTCTTGCTCTTCAAATCTCTAAGAAAGAGGTTGAAAAATTGCTTGGTTTATTTTAATTTTAAAGAAAGCTGTTTATGAACACATACAGCTGTGTCATTCCTAAAACAAGGTAAGGCTTTTGAATATAGGACTACTCCGTAAGGATCTGTGGAAGATTAATATGCTCTACAAGGCAATGTCAAATTTTGTAAGAGAATCGCATTGCTGAGCTGTATGGTTTTGGAAAAGAGCCAACAAATAGCTGTTCTACTGTTGAGTAATAGTTATTGGGAACAGATAGAGACTAAGCTCCTGACCACGAGCCATCAATGACCCTGCCACTGGAGCTGTTCAAAGTAAATTGAATGTAATATGATCCACCAAGCCATAAATTTGACTGTGGCCAGTAGCACTCCATCATTGGTGGAAACAATATACAAAACCAGACGTGAAGAGGTGCTGAAATCTCAAAGAAATTCCAGAAGCAGATGGCTCATGTTCCCGTAGCATCTGTTCACAGTCATAACACTTATATATGTTTTGTTTTTATTTTTCTAAATATCCACTTTGATATTGTTCTAGAGTTCTTTATTTTCTAATGCTGTACAGGATGACATTGCTGTGAGAGAAAATCATCTGTGTAAAGCTGAGTTTTTGAAATATGTGGAAGATAGTTTTATGAACTAGTCTTTTATTTCTCTGCATTCTTTTGGGGGTTATAATTCAGAATATATCCATTATTATACACTGTTGGGAATACACTCACTGCTTTTAATTTTCCCAACATTTCTTTGTTTTTTCTTATATCCTAGATAAACATTTGGGTTGCTACTCATTTTAAGTGCAACAGTAATGGCTTTCTTATCACTATAGAGATATTCTTCCACTATCTTTCTGCTTACTGCTCTTGAGAAGTTGACACTCTAAGTAGTTTTCCTTATAGAAAATATATCATCTCTCAACTGGAATTTAAATTCTGTTTGGTACAAAGTACCTAGCTGAATATTTCTTTTTATTTATTCAGTAACCTGGTCATTAGAGCTCATGTCATTTTTTATTTCTGAAAAATTATTATTTTTAAATATGGAGTCTTTCTACTTTTTTCTTTTATGCATACTGCAGATTTCTTTGATCACATATTGGACCTTGTCATTATACACTCCAAGTTCTTAAACTATTTTTATGCATTTTTTGTATGTGTCAATGTTGCATTTGTAGAATTTGTCCATATTTATCTTCCAATTCACTACATTCTGTATTTTTCTCTGATGTTCTCTGTGTTCATACCATCCTGTTTTTTTTTCAATAGTTGCATTTTAATGATTCTTTTACAAAATCATGCCTAGCTACTTTTGCTAGTATCTTTTTTGTGCCTATTAAAATTTAATCTTAAATATTATATATAGTTATTTTATATTATCTTTCTCATACATGCAATATAAAATCTTTGATGCCTATTTCTGCCTTTACTTGTTTGTTTGTGTTGGCTCTGTCTGGGAAATTTACTTCTTCAGTGACAGTTAATTTTCCACTGCGAGTTCTTATTTGAATGACCACAATCCACGGTGAAATCCTAAGGCAAATCTTGAAAGGTGCTAGGAATTTTTTTCCTAGCAAATTCTTCCTTTGGCTTTTTGTGAAGATATTAGTTTTAATTCTCCATCTTATGAGCATCCAACAACCTTTATCACATTCTCAAATTCATCTTTTAAGATTAGGAGATCTGGATTTCTTTTATGTGCAAATATGACTCTAGTCTTTATTCATCATTTCTTCTTGTAACTCATACATTCTTTCAGTGACTGTCACATTAATTCTAAAATTTTCCTTAAAATACTGTATTCCTTAGGATTATCTTTTAGTAATAAACTGTTCCATCCACTCCAAATCTTCTCATTTCCTTCTCAACTCTTGAGATTTACTTTATATTTGCAAGTTTAGTACTTATTTATGTATTTAAAAGTATATTGTGTTCTGTTCCATTCAATGAAATGGAGGTAGTTCGAGTGGCTCTTCTTTTTTTTGAAAAGGAAAATGTAATTCACTACTTTTGCCAAAACTGGAATCAGTTTGTGTGTATTTGTTATAAACACATTTATACACCCTTACCAAATTGCAAATTCTAAAGTCAGGGCGATTGCCTTATTCAGCACTGCATCTTACCTCCTTTTTACCTATACCCAGTATTTAATATAGAATACATGTTCTGGTTTTCTAAAAAGAGAAAAACCACGTGTTTAAGACATTTGTCCTTTTGCATTTGAATATGTAGTGTTTTGAGTGTCTCACCCAGGATCTTTGTAATCCGTGATGAAAGTCACTGGCAATGTACTTCAATTACAATTATACAGACATTGTTTTCTACCTAGAGTTCACGTCCAAGCAGACAAAATCTTACTGTACCCAAATAATAGCTTTTTCATTAAAAGTAGCAAAGAACATAAAAGAATATTTTAGACTGCATGAAATGTTGTAGATTAAACTTCCAGCACTCTGTGAGAGCCCTGGATTCCAAGAAGGGCTTTTCCTTTTACTCAATATACCTAACGAAGACCACCCTAGGTACTGTCAACATCCCACTATTTCTTGTTCCTTCTGAGAGCTTTAGAGAAAACGTGAAAAAGGTATTATCAGTTAAAATTAACTTTATATTTTGAAAACAAAAGATAAGTTCACATTATAAAATATTACTCTCCTGGGTTACGCCAATTTCCTCAGGTTACACCATTCTAGTTCATTTCTTGTCTGAATGATGAATGGTCCTTGAAAGACCATAGGGTCCCATTAGTTTTAGTAGGTAGTAACAGTTAATAATGCAGTTTACCATCTGAAACTATGCAATAAACAGCTAAGCTGTAACAGCACCAGAATGCACGATATGTTTTTTCAAACGGGAAATGTGAAAATGTGATGAGACTGGAATTTAGAACCCAGCTACACAAGTGATGTGTTTCTATTTTCTCACATCTCCTTACACTCGTGCTTTCCTGCTTTCTCTTTTCACATTCTTTTTTCTCCTTCTTTTATCTTTTATCATTTTTCTTTGCTTTTCTTCCTTCCCTATTTCTTTCTTCCTTTCTTAAAATGAAAAACCTGAATGAGATTTGATGTGATATAATAATACATTTACTGCTGGAATATAGCGGAGTGTATTTTTACTGTAGTCCAAAATTGTAGCTTCAAGATCTAAAGAGTCTTTTAAAATACCTGAGTTAAAGATGGGAAATCAACACTGAACACAAGAGGTGTATGTCCTTTTTAAAGTACCATTTCTGTTGTATTACTCACATATTGGTAGCAAAAGTTGGAATTATTATGATCCTTCATTAATGTCATTTTATTTGCAGTTGAATTGAAATGTTTTAATAACTACTACCTGCCAGAACATCTTAGTAAATGGGGTTACAACAGTAGAAATGTCATAATCCTGCTCTTTTTCTGGGCATAGGGGATGGATACAGAAAAATTTTAATACTAGTTGAATCATATACTCGAGGGGATACAGCAAATTACTAAGACCTTAGTTTTCATTTATTTTTTTGTTATTTTTTCTTCCAATACCAGGAATCAAACTCACAACCTTGCACTTGCCAGGCAGGCGCTTTTGCTGTTGAGCTAAATCCCCAGCCCCTGACCTTTCTTTTTTAATCAGATACATTTATTGTGACATTTTTCCATTTTGCTTTATTTTTGAAATGTATTTTAAAGACTACTTTTTCTTATGTACATTTAAGGTATATACTATGATGTTGTAGAATGCTTAGATTGGGGCATGGGGAGAAAGAGAAAGACAGAAAAGAATAGCACTATATGAAGAAGATATCTGAATTCTAGTTTCTAACATGAACTTGCTATATATCCTGTAATTTACTTGGGTTCAATTTATATGATTTATAGTATAATAATCTTTCATATCTCTTCAGTTTTTAAAAATCTGTGATCTTAAACTATCTCAAAAAATAATGTAAGGTTTCAGTTGAATTAAGCAGCATATTTTTTTTTTCACTGAGTGGTAACAAATGGACCTGAAATATCTGAATGTCTTTTAGTAACAGTAACAAGCTACATTATGCAAATGGCTTTAAATGAGTGTAGGAATTAAGGCAGAACATTTCTGTGTAATTTACAATTTATTATACTCCCTTGTCTTTGCTTGTCCTTTGTTTTTAAATTTTTCTTTCAAGCGAGAGCATGACTGTAAAAGCTTAAATTGTTTAAACATGGTGTACATAGGGCAATAAACACCCTAGTTTAGCTAGCTGCAGAAACAGTGCAATTACTCAAGTTAAATATTTTCTAAAGACACTCCTGTGAAAGAGTAAATTACCTGCCTAAAGAGTCATTTGTTAGAGTTGCAGCTAGTTACTGGTAGCATCCAGTCCTAAGAAGTCGATCTGGCAAACAAAGAAGAGAGAAAATAAAAAGATGCTTCTAATTATGAACTTCCCCATTTTAACTGCCTGATATTTAACAATACACAATACCAAGTGAAGTTTCTCTTCCTGGCTGAAAATGTTCCCAATGAATGAAGCTTTTTGTTTTCTCTGGATTTCCTCTGCTTTCATTTTTGTCCTGGGTCATCAAGAATCAGAAGCTTTTCGATGTGACAGTGGGGTCTCCTTGCCTCCTGACAATGTGTGTGACTTCACAGACCAGTGTGGGGACGGCAGTGATGAGCAGCAATGTAAGTGACCTTCTCCGTTCTCCACTTCCCATTCTCCATACATCTTCAAGCCAGGGGCATCTGAAGATTCAGCTAGACTGCTAATCCCATGTGGATTGTACTTTATATTCCTTTAGAGTAAAGCAGAAACTAAAATATAGTGTTTAAGAAAGATGGCTTCATTCACAAAATTTACTTTAATAACAAATCACTAAAATTTTAACTGGATAGAATTTACTTGAAGTCAATTTTTACTGATTAGAAAGAAAGAATGATAAGCAGAAATGTAGCTTTTAATCTCCTATTAAGGAAAATTAATAAGAAAATTTAAAAGAAACTCATTAATGCAACTGTAAAATGCTCTGATGGAAATTATGAACTGAGCTATGAATTTAATATGGAAATACTTGAAATGAATTTTAGCTTAAGTATGTAGGTCTTATTTTTGTCTATAGGATGTTATCCCAGCTGAGCTGGTACTGACTATGTCAGTGACACACTCTGGCCCATGTGTTTTTATTTCAACCCAGTGGAAACAGCACAAACTTCAGAGAGTACAGGACCTACTTTTGAATCCCAGGTGAACCATTTCATAGTTGTGTTATCTCGAACCTCCATTTTTATTGCAAAAAATTATAAAGTAAGTAAAACTATCTCTCATAGGTTGGAAAATGCCCAACCTGGAATATCAACTTGTTGCCTGGAATATCATTAATTAACAGGAAACAGTTTACCAAAAAAGGACATGCACAGCATCTTGCAGGTTTCCACGCATGATGAAATCTAGAAGGGAAGCTCCATGCCATCAATGGAGCCTGGTGTCAGTCTTTCGTGCAATCACTTTGATAAACATTTTCCTAAAACTACTATTGCTTTGTTGTTGGTTCATATTGCTACTGATTCCATCCTCTGGAGGCTAATTCTAGTCTATTATTTCTACTCTACAATTCTATTTTAGTAGGTCACTTAACTCAAACCTGTGTTTTCTAATTTTTTTCAGGTAAAGTATCAATAGGTATTTACAGAATTCTTCATTTTCTGCTGCAAAAATAAGACTCTCCCGATTTGATGTTATTAGTGTTTTCCTTCCTTTTATGCATTTAATCATCACTATTTGTCTTGCTTTTCAAAACAAAAAGTTACTGAAAGTTTCTTCTTTGTAGAAGGAAACAGACTAATGATTTTTCTGCCATAGTTCAGGATGGCTATCATGCCGTTCATACTTATTGGTTAGTAAATACACAGCACAGCCAAGGACAAGGATTCATTTGTATTTGTCCAATTTTCCCGGAGAGGCTACATGTGGGTATGTTGCTCCTTGCTCCAGCCTTCCTTGGAAAACCCTTACTGCTGCTCGGTGAGCAGCAAAGGAGGAATCACTCGGTTGATTTGACCAGAGGTGCAAAGTCCCTTCCATTATTAATTTCTATGGAGCTTCCTTTAACACTCCGGCTGTGATAATGCGCACAGTCTTGCTTCAGGGAAAAGGTTAATGTGGAGAAGGAGAGAGCTGCTGAGTGGGAAAGGTCTCCACTGCATGAAAAATTCTAATAACAGCCTCAGAGGAAGGCACTGGCACAGATCTGTCGAATAAACACATTTCATTTTAAATGTTACATTGGGAGGTCACCTTTCGGCTTTTTCGCTTTTCATTTTCATTGCTGGGAAGTTTTCACTTTGGTATTTTATTTAACATGTGGGCAAGTACCTGCAGATAAATGGAGAATCACTTTAAATGATGAGTTTATTTTGTATGCCGCACTAGGAAGAATGTTGTGAGGGAATAATGATGCACAAGCAATTTCTCCCATGAAAACTTGTGACGTGAACCTACAGATTAGATTTTTCAAAAACTCTAACTTTATAATGATGCAAAAATAGCCACACTTTGGGAAAAAAAATCAATCTGCTCACTTTCACATCCAGATGGTATGACCTTTAAAGAAATAGATTAACGTGTAAGACTTTTCTTGATAAAATTGGTTTGTTGAGGCTGAATTTTTATGGAACAGACACTATTAATAGATGTTTTAAAAAATGTTTTTATTTTAAAATGATAGTTAATTCCCTGTCACCTTGTCCCTAATTCAGTATTGCTTGTACTATTTTTGTGCTACTTTGTAAATGGATGTCTGTTTGTTAATATGTTTTCATTCTTTTACTTTTAAAATTAAAAAAACAGTGATAGGATTTTTATGAGACTGACGCGATACCTACTGTGTTAATGGGGCACCTATTGATAGGATTTTTAAAGAATAAATGAACCCGTTATTTTTAACTCACTTCCCCCTTAAGATATCAAGTAGAAAAACTGAATCTTTAAATGGAATAAATTCTATTTATACATAAGCACTATATATTGGACCCTTAATATATATATTTTTTGGTTTTTCTCCGGTATCGGGAACTGAACTCATGACCTTGCACTTGCCAGGCAGGCGCTTTGCCACTGAGCTAAAACCCCAGCGCCTGGACACTTAATATATAGTGAACAAAAAAAAAATAATTTGAAGGTATAACAAATGTTTGGGTTCCTCTTTATTAGACTTCATGGACATCTTTAACCAGGAAAATATACTGTGGTTCTGTCTGTGTATTTTTTAGTCATTTTAAAAAATTGGATTGTTTGCTTCCATGCTGATCCATGTTGACTGATTTTCCTCATTATCTCATTTCATTTTATTAATTTTTATTGCTATTTGTAATTCACAGAGTATAATTTTTACATTTGAGGTCATGCCGTGATGTTATATATATAAAATATGCAATGATTAAATCAAGAAAGTTAACATCTATTACTTATTTTTTCTGATAGGACATTTGAAATTCACTCTTTGTTCTCCTTGTCTTTTTGAAATATACATTGTCTTAGTTACTTTTCTTGTTGCTGAGATAAAATACCCAACACACAGAGTTAAAGGGGAAAAGGTTTATTTGGCTTACAGTTTGTGGAAGTTTCAGTCTACAATCAGCTGGTTCCAAGGCAGGGTGGTGTGGCAGAGAGGCATTGCAGAGGAGAAACATCCACAGTGGGCAGAAGGTAGCAAAGCAATGAGGGAAGCAGGGGAGCCAAGACTCTTTCTGTCCCTTGCATTGTATGTGGGCTACCTGCCCTAAGGCGAGTGTAGCATTCATACCCTTAATCCTGGCCAGAAGTTTGCCAAATCAATCAGTGGACTGATTTACTAATCATACACCCTTAATCCCAGCATCTTACACTATAGATTCATTCTCTGAAAAATCCCCATGACAGCATGAGGTGTTGGGGGAACATTTAGGTACAAACCATGACACACATATTTAGTTACTCTACTATGCAGTGGATCTCAAAAGTTATTCCTTCTGTTTATCTGAAGCTTTCCCTTTGTCTAATTACTTCTCATCCTATCCTCAGCCTTTGATAATCATCATTTTACACTTTACTTCTATCAGTTCAGCTGTTTTAGATTCCACCTATGAGTGACACCAGAATTATTTCTTTCTGTGTTTAATATATTCGCTTAGCATAATGTGCTCCAAGTTTAACCATTTTGTGCAAATGACAGAATTTCCTTCCTTTTAAAAGCAGAATAGAATACTATGTATATGAATATATACTGCATTTTTTAAAAAATCCATTCATTCATTCATGAAAATTTAGATTGATTATCTATCTTAGCTATTGTGCATGATGCTATTATAAACACAGAATTAAAGATAGCCTTTCAACAAATTGATTTTAATTCCAGTAGGGAGATTACTGTACCATGTGATAGTTCTATGTTTAGATTTTTGAGGAATTTCCAGACTGATTTTAATATTTATTATACTAATTTACATTCTCATTAATAATCTACAAGTGTTCCACTTTTTCTGCATTCTTGCCAGTGCTTATCTTTTACCTTTTTTTAAGCAACCGTTCTACTTGGTGTGAGGTGCTATCACATTATGGTCTTATTTTACATTTCCTTAGGGATTAGTGATGTTGAACATTTTCCACGTACCAGTTGGACATTTGTATGTCTTCCTTTGAGTAATGTCTACTCTAGTCTGTTACCCATCTTAAAACTGGATTACTTAGGGGTGTTTTAGTTACTGAGTTGTTTGATTTCCTGATATAATTTAGATACCAACTCTTTTTCTAATGTATAGGTTTTAATTTTCTCCCATTCCGTGAATTGTCTTCCTTTTGAATTGTTTCCTTTACTGTGCAAAAGCTTTTCAGTTTGTTGCTACTGTATTTGTCTGTTTTTGCTTTTATTTCCCAGACTCTTAGGGTCATATCAAAAACTCTCTTTATTACTTCCTTTCTCCTTTTAACTTTGGGTTTACTTTGTTCTTCTTTTTATGGTTCCCTGAGGTATTTTAGAACATTCCAAATCATTTTTGATATAGATGTTCATCACTATGAAATTTCCTCTTAGGATTGCTTTTATACATCCTATACTTCTGGTTTGTTGTCTTTTCAATTTTCATTTCTCTCAAGGAATTTTTTATTTCTTTTTTGACTTCTTCTGTGACCTTCTGAACCCGTTTGCACCTGCTTGTGGATTTTCCAAGATCTCTCCTGTTATCTATTTCTACTTGTATGCTATTATGTTCTAAAAAGATACTTAATGTGTTTTTAATCCACTTACATTTGATAAGATTTATTTTGTGGCCTAACATATGATCTGTCCTGGAGAATGCTCTTTGTGCTCTTGGGATTTCTCATGATCTTTGAGACCTTGCTTTGGTTCCTGTGTATTCAAAGAAATAGTCATTTCTTCTGACCTTTCCAAGTGTTCCTTGTTGGTGCTAGGCCTGACATCTGATAGTGAGCCCAGTTGTCCTGACCTTGGTGCTGGCTTCTGTAGTTGGACTGGTCTATAACCTGCACTCTGAGGTTGAGTGGAACTGCTGGCTCTGCTCAGTGGTCCCTTGAGAACACTGGCTGGTCTCCATCAGGTGAACTGCTGGCTGTTCTGCTATCATCTTTGACAGAAAAACATGTCAGGTTGTCTTTCCTGGCTAAGCACAAATGTGGACTGTCCTGTGGAAGC